AGGAGGAGAAGGAGGAGAAGGAGGAGGAGAAGAAGAAGGAGGAGGAGGAGGAGGAAGAGGAGGAGGAGAAACAGTCATTTCTTTAGTCTTTTCCCTAACTGCCAGTAACAACTACTTATCATTTTTCAGCTACATGCAAGGGCAGAATAATACTGCTCATGTTTAGGAAGACAATCACACGTTAGTGCTAGATAACAACTATTTGAACCTATCCTGTAAGAGCACAATGTATGAACTCTCATCTTTTCTGTACTTGTTTACTGTGTGTGTGTGTATGTGTCTGGAGAGACAGGCCATGGTGCTGTCTGGAGAGACAGACAGGCCATGGTGCACCTGTGGAGCTCAGAGGCCATCTTGAGGGAATCAGATTCCTTTCACCACTTGGATTGCTATGATGAAACACCATGACCAAAAGCAAGATGGAGAAGAACGTGGTGGTATTTTATTTGTGCGTTAATAAATAAAGCTTGCCTGGAGATCAGAAGGAAAGGCCAGCCATTTTAAGTAAACAAAGAAATCAGGCAAAATACACCCTTAAGCTCTTAGCAGGCAGGATCTCTGTGTGTTCAAGGCCACACTAGGGAAGAGAGCCAAGTGTGGTGACACACAACTTTAACCCCAGTACCAATCATAGAGACTTGGAGGTCTGTACAGACAGACAGTAACAAAGCTGTATAGGAAGAGGAAGTGAGGTAGCTGGGCTAAGGCCAATGAGAGGGCAAAAAAGCAAGGCATATAAGCCTGGGTAGACAGGAAGCAGCGCTCTCTGGAAGCATCTCTCTAAAGTTTTCACCCATATATTTGGCTCCATGGTTTTTTTGTTTTTGTTTTGTTTTGCTTTTTTTTTTATTTAATAAGACCATTTAGAAATTCGCCTACAAAGGGTTTATTTGGCTTATACTTCCGCATCATAGAAATAATAACTCTAACTCAGAAAATGGGCATTCAAGGCCAGCCTGGGCTATATAACAAGTTACAGGCCAACTTGACCCTGTCTCAAAAAACAAAAACCTAAACAAACAAGTAATTGGCAACTTCTAACAATCAACATTTATTCAGTACTTACCATGGATAGATAATTTATCAGGAGTTATATATATATATTAGGAGTGTCCTAATTTCAATTTTGTTGTTTTGAAAATACAATGACCAAAAGCAACAGAGGATGGGAAACAGTTTACTGAGCTTACAATTCCAGTTTACTGCAGGGACGTCAAGGCAAGAATTTAAAGTATCACAATCATAGTCAAGAGCACAGAGAAGCAAATGCACCTTTCCTTGTATGCTTGCTGCACTGTACTCAGCTGGCATTCTCTACTCTTACACAGTTCAAGTAACAGCCTAGGCAATGATGCTACCCACAGTGGGCTGGGTCAATTGAAAATCAAGATAATTCCCCAAAGGCATGATCACATGACAATCTGATCTACATAATTTCTTAACTGAAGCTCTCCTCTCATGTGACTCTAGATTGTTGCAAGGTGACATTTCATTTTTAAAAATTATTTAATTACATTATTTTTTTTTGTGTGTGAGCATGTGTGTATCATTACACACATATGGAAGTTAAAGGACAATTTTGGGGAGTCAGTTCTCTCATTCCACCATGTGGAGACTGGTGATCAAAGAAAGGCTTCTAGGTGTGGCAGTAAGTGCCTTTAGCTGTTGATCCATCTCTCTTGCCTGCAAGTTTACATTTTACACTTCAGTGACAAGGCAGAGAGCGTGATGTATGTGACATACATCTACCTAGAATATGCCTCTATTTTTTGGTCTTAACTTCTGGGGAACTTCCTGTTAAAATGTGTGTTCAAGTGTTACAATAATTTTTTGTGTACGTTTTGGTAAATGTCCCTTATTTTTCATTACCTGGCTTTTGCGCCTTTAAACCAATTTTTTAACCAGGACTGGGTATTAAACCCAGGTTCTTATACACGCTAGACAAGCATTCTATCACTAAGCTACATTCCCATACTTTAAACCTAATTGATTGGCTCTTTCGTACTCTTATTTAACATAAGCCATGAGTTATTTTTTAAGAAATAGGCTGAATATAAACAATAAGCAGAATAGATTGCCTCACGTGTGGAGTTTGAAAGGAGTCAATAATCAACTGTATCCCTAATGAATCATACTTTGTCCTTTACATTTATAGAGGAAAAAGATGTATCTACTTGACTTTAGACAAGTTGCTTACCAGCTAAGGCTAATTTCCTTGTCTCTAAATATGAAAAGGTTGCAAAACCATACACTGGCTAAAGCTGGATTTGCAAATCAAAGATATCAACTACTAGACTATCTTCCCACTCCAATCTATGGCAGTAGAAGCACTTCAAGAAACCAAAGTCTATGTCCAAAACAGTTTAAAAACCACAACTTAATAACTGCTCTCTGCCACTTGTAAATTCACTATGAACCAAGACCAAACTTGCTGTATGTAGTGCAAGGAATGTGCTCAGTTTGTGTTCAATACCATGAAAAATGAAAGGCAATCATTTTAATAGAGTTCTTGAGTAGATTGTGAAACGTTATAATGTTTTTAAAATAAGACATGGTACACAAGTGTAATCCTAAACCTTTGGAGGTAAAAGCACAGGATTGGGACTGTAAGGCTTCCCAGCAAGCTCAAGGCCAGCTTGGATTATGTGAGACCCTGTCTCAAAGAGCCCCAAAATAATAACTTAAAAAAAAAAAATTGGTTCCCCATCCATTTTCATGTGGTAAGTGTATTTGTATGTGCATGTGTATTTGTGTATTGTGGTGTCTATGTATATTTATGCATGACACACATGCATGTATGGATGCATATGCACATGTGTGCTCTTATGTATGGAAACTCAAGGTTGATATCAGGAATAAGTCAAGCCCAGAGCTTCTCAATATGGCTCTTTTTGATAGCCAACTTGCTCTGATGATCCCATCGCTACCTTTGAGTTTAGAATTACAAGTGGGTGGGTCACCATTCCACCAAGCATTTCTGGGAGTTCTGGGGATTTGAACTCTGGTCCTAATGGTTGCAGAGCAAGCACTTTAATTACTGACTGAGTTATCTCTTCAGCTCCAGAAGAAGCTTTCAAAGGGCATATCATTAAAAATTATATATTCACGGGGCTGGAGAGATGGCTCAGAAGTTAAGAGCACTGACTGTTCTTCAAGAGGTCCTGAGTTCAATTCCCAGCAACCACATGGTGGCTCACAACCATCTATAATGAGATCTGGTGCCCTGTTCTGGCCTGCAGTCATACATGCTGTATACCTAATAAATAAATAAATCTTTAAAAAAAATTATATATTCACAATGTCTAGAAACATTAACAATAACACCATTTATAGTCATGACTTTTAAGAATTATATCCATTCATCCAGTTGCCACAAACTTCCTCTGGAAGTATAAAAATCACTGAGAACTGATTAAAAGATTTTTTTTTTTTTTTTTTTTTTTGGTTTTTCGAGACAGGGTTTCTCTGTGTAGCTTTGCGCCTTTCCTGGAGCTCACTTGGTAGCCCAGGCTGGCCTCGAACTCACAGAGATCCGCCTGGCTCTGCCTCCCGAGTGCTGGGATTAAAGGCGTGCGCCACCACCGCCCGGCCTGATTAAAAGATTTTTATCAACTCATCTCCAAATCCTATAGATGACACATTCTGATTTAATGTGTGTGTGTTCGTGTGTTCATGTGTACCTGTTTGTGCACATGTGGAGATACATATCTATGTGTACTTTGTGTATGTAAACACAATGCCAAGGGCCAATGCTAAGTGTCTTCCTCATTTTCTACCTTATTTTTTGAGACAGGGTCTCAAAACCCTGAACCTGAACCTGCCAATTTAGCTAGACTGGCTGGCCAACAAGCCCTAGGGATCCTCCTGTCTCCACCTCCCCAGCATGGGATTCCAGGCACAAACTAATATATCCAGTTTGTTTAACATGCGTGCTGGACTGAACCAGCCCTTTTTCCTGCTTGCAAGCACAAAAGGAGGGAGAGATGGTGGGAGGAGGTGGGAGGAGGAGGGAGGAAGAGAGAGAGAGAGAGAGAGAGAGAGAGAGAGAGAGAGAGAGGCATACATGTACACATATGTATGTTGTTGAGGTACCTATGCATGCATGAGTGAAGGCTAGAAGCTGACATCCTGAAGTATTCCTTGATTGTTTCTCCACCTTATTTTGTCAGTGTATCATCAATCCTGGAGCTCTAGCTAAACTAGCTAGCCAGCAAGCTGCTGAAATCCACCTGTCTCCATCTCCCAAGCACTGGGATTAGAGCATATCGCCACACCCAGCTTTTACTGAGCTCTGAGGATCTGAACAGAGGTCATTATGCAGCAAGTACTTTACCTACTGTCTTACTTAGGGTTTCTATTGCTGTGAAGAGACATCACGACCACAGCAACTCTTATACAGGAAAACATTTAATAAGGTGGTGGCTTACATTTTCAGAGGTTTAGTCCATTATCATCATGGAGCAACATGGTGGCCTGCAGATAGACATGGAGTTGGAGAGGTAGCTGAGAATTCTGTATCTTGCACAGGCAACAGGAAGTGGTCTGAGTCACTGGGTGTGGCTAGAGCATATATGAGACCTCAAAGTCCAGCTCCACAGTGACACACTTCCTCCAACAAGGCCACATCTCCCAACAGTGATACTTACTCCTTTGGGGGACCATTTTCTTTCCAACTACCACACCTACTGAGTGATCTCTTCAGCCCATTTTGGTTGATTTTTTTTTGTCTGTCTGCTTTTAGAAAGGGTCCCATGTAGTTTAGGCTGGTCCTGCACTCACTATGTAACAGTTTACTTTCAACTTCTGATCTTCCTACCTCCACCTCCCAAGTGCAAGGATTACAAGCATGAGTCACCACACTAGATTGACTTAATACAAGCTATTATAAAAGGAAAAAAAAAAGATTCATACCTTTAGAGAGATTTTCATATAGGCTCTCAATAGTTAAAAGCAACTTATTTTCCATAACTAATCCAAATACAGCCAGCCAATGTTTTTTAAAGCACTGCAATAGATTTACTAGAGTCCATGGTGGTTTCAAGTACAGCACCTAGAAAGTATTACAAAATTATCATCTACTGATTTATTTTACCTATTATTTAAACACACCTATGTAGAAACTTCTACACATATCCCTAATGAAAATATAGCTGGTTAAACTATTTTTAAATTAAGAAGTGCTAATCAGAATTTTTAAGTGGTAGGTATAATACAGATTGATTTTATAAAATTCATATTATTAACCTTTAGTTTCATAACTTTTAAGTACATAAAGAAAGCAAACCTCAGTTAGAGGAGTAGTCTAGTTTTAGCCAGAAAGGTACCTCAATCTACTTTTGTCTTTTTTAAATTAATACTCTTGTTTTATGTGTACAATCCTGAAATATATGTCTGTGTACATGTGTAACTGGTCCCCACAGATGCCAGAAGAGAGCATCAGATCCCTTGGAACTGGGGTTACAAATGGTTATGGGTAATCATAAGAGACCTGAACCTGGCTGGGTCCTCTGCAAGAACAGTAAGTGCTCTTAACCACTGAGCCATCACTCCAGCCCCTCACTCTTCTTTTCTATATGGTCATTTCCATAAGCAAAACAATCTAAATATTTCATACTACTGGGGGAAAAATACATATAGAAAAAAAGAACCAAGTACAACTGTCATCTACAATAAAGATATTTATAGATAATTGATCTCTTAGTTTAGGAAGTTATCAATGCCTTTTTCTGAAACATTCATATTTCTAAGAAATATGCAGGTGGCAGTGGTACACACCTTTGACCCCTGCATTGGGATCAAATCTAGGACAGGCACCAAAACTACACAGAAAAACCCTGTCTTGGGGAAAAAAAAAAACAAAAAAAACAAAAAACCCAACAACAACAACAACAAAAATATTCTATTTATACCAAGCCATCCAAATCTCTTATAATTCTTCATTATTTTTGGATCAGCATGTGATAATATGAAGCAGCAAATATATCACACTGGTAAGTTTTAGAATCTTGTTGAATAGCTGGAATAAAGACATCAGCTATAATTAATGGGCTATAACGTTCCTCCTAGAGACAAGTGTGAATTTGAAACAAGTATTAAACTAAGTTTTACAGATGGACAGTGGTGGTGCACACCTTTAATTCCAGCACCTTGGAGGCAGAGACAGGTGGATCTCTATGAGTTCAAGGCCAGCCTGGTCTACAAAGTGAGTTCTAGGAAAGCCAGGACTGTTACACAGACAAACCCTGTCTCAAAGAACCAAAAAGCAAACCAAAACAATAAACTAAGTTTTACAAGTATGCTTGCTAAATTTGGTGTTTCATTTAACTGTAGAAAAGACATTAAGCTAAAGAAACCCAAAATATCTTATTATGATCAATTTTTACTGATATTTACATGACATAAAAGTCAAATATACAGATGAGTGTGGTGGCATACACCTTTAATCCTAGTACTTGGAAGGCAGAGGCAGGCAGATCTCTGTGAATTCGAGGCCAGCCTGGTCTACAGAGCAAGTTCCAGGACAGTCCGGTTTACACAGAGAAACCCTGTCTCGAAACACAAACACACACACAAAATCAAATAGAAATTCTGCCATACATATTGAACAAATCAAATTGAATGAGCAAAGTATTTGTTTGGAGACAGGGTCTCTTGTATCCCAAGCCTTACTACATAGCCAAAGATAATCTCAAGATTTATTCCTGATCCTCTTATATCTACCTTCAAGTGCTAGGATTATAGGCATATGCCACTACACATGATTTATGTGGCACTGGGAATAAAACCTGTGGCCTCAGGCATCCGAGGCAACCATTCTACCAACTGAGCTATACTTCTAGTCCTTGTGCAAAAACTTTAAGGATTCAATTTAAACTCTAAGAGGTCAATGCATCAAATATTCATTGTAGATGCACAATAACTATTCATTAATTTAAAACAAACAGAATCTTCCCTTGGAGTACCTCTTCTTTCTCATTTTTCCTTAATAAATCTACTTTTGCTCTGTTCAAATTAAATAAGTACTATATAGTCCTAACCTTTAACAAATGTTCATCATATAATTATCAAAAAGTTATTACAAGGCCAGAAAGATAGTTCAGCATACTAAGGCACTTGCCACCAAACCTGACAACCTGAGTTTAATCATGACAGAAGGAGAGAATCAATTCCTGCCAAACTGTCCTGACTTCTTCTACAGGAGCACCATGGCAAACACACACCTGCAAACATACACATTCTTGTGCACACACATACACAAATATATAAAATTAATTTAATAATTAAGTTATAAAACTTAGAGAAAATGTAATATGGATTACTATAGTTTTGTAATTTACACAAATATCTTCTAAGATAACAAATCATCAATAATAAGAAGAAATCTCAATTAATAGTTAACTAGGTACCTCCATCCAAAGATCTCCAAAAGCAATTTTCATTTCTGTTTCTAATATTGAAGATAAAGCTGTCCCAAGAGATTTTTCAAGATCACATATAATGCGTTCAAGTAGAATGGCCAGTCCAGAATTTGTAGATTCTTCCTTAGGTGTCTCCTCTACAGGTGCTGTTTCTTTAAGACAAAGTTTCAGGCTTTACTAAAATAGGAGGTAATCTTTCGTTTTATTTTGACACAGGGTTTCAAGCAGTACAAGCAGGTCTCCAAGTTATGGTGTAATGGAGGATGACCATGACCTTCTGACCCTCTTGTCTCTATCCCCCAGTGCTGGGATTACAAGTGTGCATCATCATGCTAGGTTTATATTATACTGGGATCAAACATAAAGGCAGGGCTAAGCTCATTCTAGGGAAGTATTTCACCAGCTGAGTGATATGTCACTACTTAGGTTTTTTTTTTACAATAAATAAATAAATAAATAACCCTAAAATGTTTTTTTTTTTACTCAAACAGAAATATGAAAAAACAAGTTATTTTAACTAAATTGAATTTTACTATCCTCTTTGTGTGTGTGTACAGCAAGTGCTTTTATCCATTAAGCCATGTCACTGGCTTCAGTTTACATTTTTATTTATTGCCCATCTCTTTTTTTTTTTTTTTTG